ACTCTGATCCCATACTAACCCCTAACGCATTAAAGAAATGATGATTAAGTAAGCCTTAAACACCATGAATATTTAGTATTTCAATATAAAACAGTTCCTATATCCGTAGAAGGTTCTTTTAAAAAAAGCATATTACTACTGTCCAATTAATCTAAGTGTTTCTCGTTGATCAGAATGCAAAAATAGCATTTATAGCTAATCCAACCCAAATAATTGAAAGATTTTGCATTTGCGTTTCACTTTATTCTGATTTTTTGTTAGTTATTATTGGGTAAATCCCAATTGCAGCCGTAAAACGCACGCATGAAACAGAATATCCGCATGTCTTCATGTTTTGACATTAACACGTAAGAACATAACACTGACCATGTTATACTCAGGTAAAACACTTGGTACTGCAGGTTGTCCCGAAGCACAGTGGGAAAGAATTCCTTTTTGAATGGCTTACCAGATGTGAAAAAATTTACGTTGCGCTTTTCGTGACAACCGGTCATATTAACGTGCAAAGTGACATACTATTTCAATGGACCCCTAATTTCTCCATTTTTCCATACAATAATTTTCTTTCTAGATTAATCTTAAACGCTACCATTTCCGCCAAAATGGCGTTGCTTCTTCCAACTATACGTGCTTAAGCCAGATTGTCATCGACATATATATTCAGGGTTTTAATGCAAAACTTTTAAGAACAAATGCAGTCAAAACTGTCAGTATTATAGTCTTAACTAACTAATTGTTTTTTGTTCATTGGAGTGGAAGAAGGAAGGGGATATGGACTTTCATTTTTCATTCATTGATTTAAGTTTAAAGTACTGTACTGTACTTGCAGATCTCGCGCATGTATACTGTTAACCATGAATTTCATAGGAGTTTTATATTAGCGTATTTTTTGTGTATGGTTAATAGATGTAGTTAAACTACATTGCACAAGATACAATTATTGCCTTTTTTCAGATATAATTTTTTTTCCGGTGATAATATAGCGTTTGACGTCGCTAAGACACGGCAATGAGTTAGGTCAGATGTTTTTGGAAGTACCTACCGCGTTGTGCCATGGTGTCAGATATTAAGTGATTTTTAAATGTCGTGTAGTATTTGTTCAGATGTCTTTCTTTCACGGAACATAGCTACTGTTTGTCCGTTTATTTGTATATATTCATAGTTAAAGCTCCGACTTTTGCGCGATCTCTTAAAAAGTTTATGCAGTCTAATGTAATGTACATAAATTTGTGAAATTATTACAAGTGATTTGTCCAGTGGATACGTCCCGATATTCTGCGGCGGTCCTGCCAAAAGGCAATAGATTCACAGTCATACTGTTGGGGGTGACTCGTCCACATTTTCAGTAGGACCCTCTACACTATTGGCAGCTAATTTTATTAACATAAGCCATATCCTGTAAATTTGAAAATTAGAAGAGAAGTTTATTTCAGTTTGTTGAAACATATTTGTGAGCAATGAGTCAGTTCACCATGGTAAAAACAAGTTTAAAAATACTATATAGTAATGCAAATTACTTACAGTGGAACTTTCGTAGCACTGGTTCGATCGTCCTTTGTCATTCTGATAGAGCAACATCGTGCAGGGATTCCGAAATCTACATGGTT